AAGTTTCAGGCCCTTTTTTACATCAGTAGACAGAATCTTTGTAATAGGGACAGGAATTAAATTCCTCTGATTAGGCGTTCTCACCAGTTCACCATTTAATTTAGGTCTGGGTCTCGTCTTCAAGCAGGGAATGTGATTAATGGCGTGTTGGACTATGTTTGGTACAGTGGAGGAGTAAGGTGGAACATCCAGTTGTGCAGGGCCAGGCAGACAGGGGTCAGTGTACTCACCCGGTGCAAGCGAGGAAGACATAGAGCTATGTGCGCCTGGAAGGGGCCGCGATGTAAACAGTCATTTGCTTCTCGGAGTCCACTGTACAACGTGACGTAGGAAGTCTATCAACAAGCTTGTGCCAAACTTATTTGGATGCAAGCCATCAGGGCGGTACGCTACATGACGTCTCCAAAATAAGCCAAAATTATTTACAAACACAAAGTTAAAAGAGCTGGACATTGACTGGATCCACAGATGTAGCGCTGCAACACGACTGTAGAAGCAGTCGCCTCGGTTTATAGACGGGATTGGACCAGAAATAAACACAGACAATCCAGAGGATTGGAGGAGGCGGAACAGGTCCATAAAGTGCCTCTTAGTGATTTCGGACTGTTGTAGTTTCACGTCATTGATCCCCACATGCACGATCACCTTTGAAATGGTATCGGGCAGGGATTTAAGCAGAGGGGGGAGACGGATGAGCAAGTCTGGCACAGTAGCTCCGGGGAAAAAGTGAGTGACCGCGTTAAAAAAGCGGACATGTCTCATGATGGAATCCCCAACAATCAAAGTGGTCGGGGCGAAGAGTGGACGTGGCCTCGGAGAAGGCGCTCGATGGACGGGACCAGCGGGCTCATCCGAAGCAGGATCCGAACCCGGGCGCTGCTGAACACATGAAGAGGAGGAGCAGGGGTGTTTACTCTCAGCTCCGGGCGACCCACATTGTGTACTCGGGGACGCTGGAGCGGCCAGAGGAGGAGCAGGCTCTGGGCCCTGCTGCTGACCCGGAGGCGAGCGGTGGTGATGGCTCGCTAC